GGTTGGACTCCTTTCTTGGTTCTTCATCAGAATGATCCCCTTCAAAGCAGAATAGTTTAGCCTCATTTAAATAAAAGTTAGTCGCTGCTCCAGTTGTTTGCTGATCACGAGACCGCTCACAAACAGGTTCCCCAAGATCAACGTCACGCACACCAGTAAAAGAATGTCTCCCCATATGTGTTGAGACTTTATCTGCATAAGAGATATACGTTGAATATGGTCCATACGAGAAATCATCAATCGAGTTAAACATGGATTGTTGCATTGGTGGCATAGTCAAGTCAAACTCGAATCTAGCAACGCAAGAATGCCTTGGCATTGAAGACGATGATACACCCAAATCGTTATGTATACCGTGTCTGCTTAACAAATTGAATTTATTTCTCAAATTTGTCGTCGGACTGTCAACAGTTGGATCAAAGTCAAACTCCAATCATCTCTAACTTGGCACACTAGTACCATCATCAGCATCAGAAAGCAATGCATATAACTCCATCGACCCTCCAAATGAATATTGCAAGTGAGCATATGCACATCATCATTGTCCTCAATGGTGTATATTGTGTACGTTAATGGTTCTAACGATGTCGGTAGTCGATGCTTCAAGGGTAACAATTTTGTACCATGAGCATGTGAAACATTTTTCTTCACTTCCTTCATTAACTTGTTATACGTTAACTTCATTGGTAGCGTTATTGTCACAGTGTGTGCGGACTAAAACACGACACCGAGAGATGCATCACCAATCATTTCACCATCGTAATATACCAAAGCAGTAAGGCTTTCTCTCCTCGACATTTTAGTTGAGTTGTTGCCCAATAATACTGAATTAAAATTGTTTTATTGGCGCAAGAACCTCGCGGGTTACAAGACGCGATTTCCAAATAATGTGGGTTGTAGGGTGCGAGATCCTGGTATCTCATGTTTTACAAGATGTGTGGTTCTACTAATGTACTATAGATATCGCGTGATGTAGGGTGCGATTTTCACTGAAACTTATTTATTAATTTATTAGAAAATAACTCCCAAGATGAATTGACTAATGGAAAATAGTTCGTATAACTAAAATTTGTTAGATAAACTTCAATTGCTCAATTAACTCAAAATAAAATAATTTAGTACAAAATAATAAAATAGTTTGCATAATAGAAAAATATTTTGATCGACTTAAAATAAAATAGTTTAGTACAAATATTTCAGTTTTGAAGAAAGAAATAAATAACAACTAATAATGCATATGTCTACCAGTTTTGCATCGTGGTAGACGACGAGTCCTACACGGATGTAATTGTGATTCCTCTTCCTTTTCAGCAATATCATCATCATCAGGACCGGAAGCTGTATATGGAATGGATCAATCACTGGCACTGGAACTGGGACCGGTATAGAATATGTTATGTCGCGGCGTCTGCTCAACAATATCGGATCCAAAGTTAGCTATCAATTGTGTCAGTGGTGAATTGAACTGATTAAAGAAGTGAGTAAGGAAACCTTCTGAGAACTGCCCTGTTTACTGAAATGTTGATTGAGTCGAGTGGGTGAAGATAGGTCATGGTGTGTCAGCGGTGTCTGAGGAGGTCCCTGTGTTGTTGACGATGAGGAGGATGCACTTTGTTGTCTTCTTCTTCTCTTCCTTGACTCCCCCTACGTTGCCTCTCTGTCCGTGGGAAACTCTGTGGAGGAACATATAATTCTCACGCTCGCTTCTCATCGGTAAATATATGTAGCATCCCATATTCTTGGTACCACCACATATAATCGTATGTCGCGCTGTGGTCGAAGATAAGTTGAGTCATGGGCGTCCTCTCGAATCTTTGGACCCACTCGTTTAGATCCTCCGTATTATGATCCGCCCAATTAATTTCCTTCTTCCCTTGACCACTCAATCGATGCAACTGATCCAAGCAAGGTGGATATGGTGGAATCGATTGGACATAGTTAAATTGTCGAATGATACGCTCGGTAGGATGCCACGATGTACACGGGCGCATTAGTCACCCAAATCTCATGTTGTATATAGTCAGCAATAGCAGCGTCACAATAAGGCATCCATAATAACTATAAAATTAAAATTACATAACTTTGTTAGCTAAAAACCTCAAATAAATTAAATTATTATAAAGTTATAAGATAAAAGTTGAAGGAAAATATTTTATTAACTGATGTCCAAACTTATCAATCAAGAGTCTGAAGTCTCGTTGATGTGTTGGTAAGTGGGCGTGAGAGGTTTCATTAGTCCACTTATCATTAATACAATAGAATTGTATTATTTGTTAATAATATTATAAAAAAATAGATAAAAATTATTTTTTTACCTCTTAAGTAACGTAAATTCATATGGGACAAGTGTTTTAAGGACCGGGCATAAAATTGGCATTCGGATCTAGGCCCATGACTACAACAACAATAAACACCTCCCATGACATTTTTCATCGGATCTACGGCCCTACAAAGTTGTCGGAACAAAAATGGCAAAATTGTCGACCCCCAACTTATATTTCTTGAATCACTCAAATTTTGCAAATGATTCAACCACATCGGATGCACCTTATTTCAGGATTTGTCTGGCATTAAAATCCCCCCAATAACTCGTAGTATATGCGCACAAGCAAACCGCTTCAAAAAATTAATAAAATAATATAACTACTTAATTTCTAAAACAATAAAAAAATAAATTGAAATATTAATAAATATTCATAGATAAAAACATTTATATTTACCTCATTCACTTCATGTTTCGCATTCTGAGATAGGTTCATAAAATTTTCATCCAAATATTTAATTTTTATTTTTCCATCATCAGGTGGATTAATTCTGAGCAATACCTCACATACGTTTCTAAGGGCAGCGACAACACCAGTAATAGCTACTCCATCAATAGGCAGTCCCAGATGAAATGCAACATCTTGCAGGGTAATAGTTGCCTCCCCACACGGTAAATGAAACGTGTGCGTCTTCGATCTCCATCTTTCCACCAACACATTTATAAGTGGATGATGCAACTTCACACTGTCACCAGTTATACTACTAATATATATGAAATCGGCTAAATATAAATAGTCAATAATATCTGCATCTGGCGGTGCCACACGATTTATATGACACTCTAATACACGTTCATACCCTACAAAATATAAATATTAAAAAATTATTTCAATATAAAAAAACTAAATCAATAAATAAATAGTAAAAATACAAAATAATATTAATTAGTTTACCTCATCATTTCGCCTTCAATAATCTTATACGTGACTTCGATCATGTCTTAATAAATTTTTCGCCATGATTTGAAATCTTTGAATTTTTGAATATATGAAAGGGATGTGTTTGGTGATGAATAGGAGTGGATGACCCTATTTATAGCCTTTCTCGCACCCGGGGAAGCGCAGTTTTAAATGCAACTCGCGTCCTGCAACAAGCAAGTTACGTTGTAAACACTCGAAATTTATTTCGTTCCCAGTACCTCACGGTTTTTAAGACACGAGATTACTTTATCTTTTAAAATTTAAAATATATTATAATTTTAATATTATTAATTATTTATTATATTTAATATTTTACACATATAATTTTCATTATTTCAAAATTTACAAAATATATTATAATTATTTTTTTATAAAATATCTATTTTAATTACTATATTTATATATTATATTTTAATTATTTATTATATTTAATAATTAATATTAATTATTATTATTATTATTATTATATTTATTTAATTTCTACATTTCAAGTTAGGATGTTATACGGAATTCGAAAGAACCTCGCGCTTTGTAGGCTGCGAGGTCCCCCATAAATCTCGTGATATTTTGGATAAAGGTTACCTCGTGCTTTGCGATGCGCGAGGTCATTTTATCCAATTATTTTATTGGCTTACCAAGAAAATACGCCCACTTCGGATATATCTCGCGTGTTGAAGGATGCGAGGATTTAACACGTGATTTGCAAGTTGCGAGTAGGGATGGGCATGGGCATGGGTCGGGTTTTTGGTCCACCCGACCCGACCCGATTGGACCCGAGAATAAGGAATCTTCCACCCGAGACCCGATCCGACCAAAACAATATTTCACCCGACCCGACCCCGACCCGATATATAACTTAAAAATCCGGCCCGAAATAATAAAAAATTATTTTTATTCAATAAAAATAGTGACTTAATTGAAAAAAAAACAATATATAGAGGAGTATTATTGTAATTATTCCTAAATATAAGGTAAAATTATTTTTTTCGGTCCGGGTCGGGTTGGGTACTTTTCACCCTAAACCCGACCCGAACATCACATTTAAAAAACTCGACCCGACCCGATTTTTTTTAAAAAAAGTCTGACCCTATCGGGTCGGGTTCAGATCTCATGCCCATCCCTAGCTGCGAGGTCGTCTGATGTGGATGATTTAGGTGTTATTCTTCCAACTAATTTTTGGGGGCCCTATTTCTTTAAATAATTATTTATCTAGGTTTTTAATATAAAATTGCCTAGAAACTAACTAATGTGATGAAAGAGATTCGCCTACTAAATTCTTATTTAGATGTTATAATTTTGATAATAAATTGATTCAATTTATTAGATTTTAGTAATTTAATTAACATATTAAATTATTTATATTTAAAAGTTGAATTATATGAATTAAGTTATCTCAATGGTTGAAGAGATGATTGTTATTTTTAAATAGTAGTCTTGGGTTGAAACGCCAACTATTATCATAAAAGATCGAGAGTGTTTAGAATAAATATTATCACTTGTAATCCACGGATAATTAATAAAAAAAATTGAAGCGACTCAATGGAGTAAATATATCTCAAGATCATAAAACGTGGGAATGCCCCTCGATTTCGGGATTTCCAACTTCGGAAAATTACCGGACTCTCAGAGTTTCAATGTTTGTCCTGTTTTTTTTGGAATTTCTAATAAAAGCATAGGCTCTCTTTGTCGTTTCAAAAAAGTATATATATATATAAGGATGAGCAAGAGCAACACTCGTATGAATCAGCGAAAGAAATGGCAAAAACTCAACCACAACCCAAGCACAACAGTTGCACAAAATTTGTATTCATGATCACCTTTGCCTGTGTTGTGGGATTGGCTTGCATCATAAATCTCGCGTCTTCTTTTTCTTTATACTCTACTTATCTTAGCATCACATCCAATTGGGTGTCTCATAAACCTCCTTTCGTTATCGTTCCAAAAATCAGAGAAGACCCCGAAATTTCTAACAAGGTTTTTTTTTCTTCAATAGACTTCTTTCCCTCCAATATAGTATGAATTTAACTGTTTACCAAATCTATTTGTAGATAGGGGATGTAGTTCTGAAAAAAAAGAAGGGACATACTTCTGATTCTAAGAGACACTTATCAGCAACATTTGCGGATTTACCAGCACCAGATTTGGCATGGGAACAAATGCCATCAGCACCAGTGCCACGACTTGATGGATCATCAATCCAGATTAACAATCTTTTTTATGTTATTTCAGGATATGGCACCCTCGACTATGTATGTAACCATATTTCTACAATTTTTCAATCTTTTTTGATTGTTTGGTTTATGATCTTGAATCATTCCTGCACCTGCAGGTGCATTCTCATGTTGATGTGTTCAACTTCACTGATAATACATGGTGTGCGAGGATCGATGCACCGAAATACATGGCAAATTCGCATCTAGGAGTGGCCAGTGATGGGAGGTTCATATATGTGGTCTCAGGTCAGTATGGCCCCCAATGTAGGAGCCCCACTTTTGTCACTTATGTTCTAGATACTCACACAAGGCAATGGCTCGACTTTCCTCCTTTACCAGCCCCCAGGCAAGTCACTCCCATCCCTATTTACTTGAACGTGATTTTTCATAAAACTGCACTTTGTTTGAGCATTCGGATTTCAGGTATGCTCCTGCAACTCAGTTGTGGAGAGGTAGACTCCATGTGATGGGGGGCAGCAAAGAAAACCGCCACACCCCTGGACTGGAGCATTGGAGTATAGCAGTAAAACATGGCAAGGCACTGGAGAAAAATTGGCGGCATGAGATCCCGATTCCTCGTGGAGGACCGCATAGGTTTTCCGACTTTTCTTTCGAATATATATATTCCTAGCTTTTCTAACACGATCTAATAATTATGGATGCAACTGAACTTTTTAGCAGAGCTTGTGTTGTGGTCGATGATCGTTTGTTTGTAATCGGTGGTCAAGAGGGAGATTTTATGGCAAAACCTGGATCACCCATCTTCAAATGTTCACGCAGGAACGAGGTATATCATACAGGATACAGCTTCATGTCATGGTGATCATTAATCAGACAATTGAGGATAACTATTCCATCTGCTGGTTCCTCAACCTAATATTCTTTCTTCTTCTTCACTGGTTTAGGTGGTGTATGAAGATGTTTACATGCTAGAAGGTGACATGAAGGAATGGAAAGTCTTAGCTCCGATACCAAAACCGAACTCCCATATAGAATGTTCATGGGTGATTGTCAACAATTCAATCATAATTACAGGGGGTACTACAGAAAAGCACCCAGTGAACAACAGAATGATACTTGTTGGGGAGGTTTTCCAGTTCCATTTAGATTCACTGGTACATGTTTTCTCCCTATTTCAACATCCAACAATACCATCATGCTTAAACAGTGTTGATCTTGCTAATTGCAGACTTGGTCAGTGATTGGAAAGCTTCCTTACAGGGTCAAGACTACCCTGGCTGCTTTCTGGGATGGATATTTGTATTTTACATCGGGACAACGAGACAGAGGACCAGACAATCCACAGCCAATGAAGGTCGTCGGTGAGATGTGGAGAGCCAAAATCAATGTCTAATTACATCCTTTTCATCATTCCAATTTTGATAGTAATTAGGCAATTCATTTTCAGAAAACTTGTTAGCATCATTTGTTCATATGTAAATTATATAAAAGAGTGAAGACTACTCTTCTTTACTCAATATTGTAGCTAGCCACTTGAAGGAAGAAGACAGTGTCGAGCATCGAATATACGGACTAGAAGAACAAGCATGATATCCCTCTCTTACACCTCTATTAGATCCAGCAACAAACTTATTGTATTCCATATAGCTCCTACATAATTTCTGACTCGCAAATCTACCTGCGAGAATTAGAAGAACAAAGATACTATGTAGAGCATGAAGTCAGAAAATCTGTAAATGTCTAAGCAATGCTAAATAAAGTATTTGGCCAATGGCTATTGCAAAGAGACTATTCTTGTTTCTCTAAAATCAAGATGCTTCTATTCTTTAATTTTTAATCCATTCCAAGAAAGTTTAAAACTTCTCAAAATATCCCCAGGTTTCTGAACATTATATTTTGGTTACTTATAGTCACCTTGTAGTTGCTAAGGATTTATGAGGGCTGGTAGAATCATGAAATGCTGATTTTCCATAAGGTAATTGCAGTTTCCTTTGACTGACCTGAAAAACACTTCACCCATTGATATGGATACCATCAAAGTACGGCAAAGAACTTCCACCGTTCTGCCTAGTTAAAACCGAGCACAGCATTACTGCACATCGATACTCAAAATTAACATGAAAATGAGTAACAAAATCGACTTGACGGTGCAAATAGAAGAGAGGAGACAAGGCAGGGTGTAGAAAATACCTTTCAATTCAACAGGGGTGCATATGGTGCAGGGCATGGAGACACAGTATGATCAGGTAACTGGTCTATTAGATCGATTGTTGCCAGCAAACATGCATGGAGAATTTTCTTTTCCAACCTAACAAGCTGAGTGGCAACTCGTTTCTTGGCATTCAAGTTTGGATCTAACAACTAATGTAACAAAAATGTTGGTTAAAATTCATTTTGCCATAAGTTGAGATCTAATCATCAACATGGTCAAAAAAAAATCATCAACATGGTCAAGAGAACCAATAATACCAATGACTCGTCTTCATTAAGTGTAGTAGGGTAGCCAGCCAGGCGTCTATTGAAATAATCAGCAAGCTGCTCAAGTACCGCTTGTTCCATACATGGGCTCACCTATCATGAAAAGTATATTTAAGCAGAATTTATAATATATATATATACATAAAAAGGAGAAGAGAGAGTTTTGCCTTGTTTAACTAAAATGAATTTGGAATTTTAATTGCCTATCGAAGGCACAGCTAGAGTCAAAGTTTACAAAGGAAGAAAAGGTTGAGGCTAAAAATTGCATTATACAGTCTGAATCACATTGTGGTCATCAAAGTGAATTGGTTTGGACTTCAATTTGTGTAGAACTCTCACAAATATTACATTGCAATTAGGATTTAATTCATGCAGTAAACAAATTGAGAAACTAAACATTTGCGGTATATGAACTCACTGGGCAGACTGGACCTTGAGAAGAAAGGACAGATTGCATCTCAGAAGGATCTGAAACATAGCCCAATCGCAAATATGGAAGCATATCCGAGACAGCTTCTTTTTCCTTCCCCGCAAAAACCTGAAGCACGTATAAAATATATACCAGGAGAATTCATACAAATAACTTGTCCTGATAGTTCAGATTCATACATTAAAAGCTTGTACTGATAGTTTGTCATTTCTTTGAACAACCAGTCTCTTGTCCTGATATTGAGGGTCCTCAGTATTCAAAGCTGCCTGAACATAAAGTAAATAAAGCTATTAACATGGTTGACAAACAAACACAAAATCCTGCACGTTGCTTTAATAAATCCTTTCTCAACATATTTATGACATTTAAGCATTCAAGATATTTATTCATTTAGTAACCATATAAAATGGATGACAAAACCATAGTTTAGAAGCAGTTTTCAATTATAAGAGTAAGAAAATTCAGATTTTACCTGAACAACCAGGCGATCATGAGTATTATCATCATCAACAAAACCATAGTTTATAAGCAGTTTCGAATTAGGCTGTGGTCCACACCTAAGAAGAGATGAAATGTGTCAATGTCAAATTTGATATATGCAAATGGATCAATAGTTAAAAAGAAAAGGTTTCGATACTTAAGCATAACTGAAAGAGAAATCAACATTATGGACAATAAATAAGAGATTCTATTTATACCAGACAACAATAGGTTCCCCTGCCTTATATGAGCGATCAACCACAAGTTCAATGGCACCAGAAACAGCACTTAACATTGCCTTGCAATTGCTCCTGTAAGCTAGCAATGGGGGTCCTAGAGGAACTAATGCAAATCTCCGAGCCAAAGGTACTTTCTGTGTATGAACAAATTTCACACAGTGTTTCAAAATTTCCAAGAAATCAGAGAAGGGAGTGATTCAGTATATGCAATGCTATCAACAAGGTTTAGCAAACAAGTTTACTAAATTATATAAAACATGAACAATAAGGGATGTTGCAATCTGGTAAGTCACTAATGTCCTCAAGGGCTAACAACGTATTTTTTTGGAAGTTAGGAAAAACTGGAAAAGCTATCAGAAAAAAGAGAAATTACCTGTAAATGCACCACACAAGACTGAACAGCAACAAAGGCTTGTTTGAAAATCTCAAATGGAAAGGCCTCGGTAGGTATATCATAGGGATATTGCTGCAACGCAAAGATATAAAAAATATTTATGTTCAGACTCTAAACTCTACGCTTCAGAAAGGAAAATGAAAAAGGATAAAAGATATTACCTGAAAGAGAGACCCAGCCATAAACCAGACTGTATCAAGCTCATTATACTCTCTTTTTATTCCTTCAGCTCTTTCAAGAACTTCAGCCTAATTCGTGAGCAACAGAATTCAATCATGAAACTTAATGAATTATAGCCATTAAAAAGTTAAGTGGTAAAAAGACATTGTATCGTAGCAGCTACCTTAGTGGGGCTACCCGTCAGGTAAGCCAATTCATCTTCCGACCAAAGAAGTGGAGATTCGACAGCCAGCTGGCCCCTTCCTCGTTGACGATCAAGCTCTCTAATATATGGATACCAAAATGATTTCTTTCCTTGCTTCTTCTCATACATTAAGTACAAAGCTAAGCACGCCAATTCCGACAACTTGTTTGTTGTCAAAAGTTCCGCTGTATAGAAGGCCAGGCTAATTACAAAGGTAAATCAAGTGCAAGAAAAAATATAACTGAGATCTGACATAGATGCTCCACGAGTGCTGCAAAAATATGTAATCCTGATCTACATTGCTTATCTCCTCCACTAATCTCTCACCATTTAGCACAATGCTATTAACAATGGACAAACAGAACTCTTCACCTTCTAGTTTTGCTAGCTACAAACGAAAGGACTGGGGGAAAAATATACAGAAACAGTTGTAACGACTGTCTAAATTGCAATTCAAGTTCAGAATCACCTTTCCGAATTCGAAGAAAAAAATTACCAATACATTTCATCTATATAATGCACCTTACCAACAGTCTCGTTTCCCAGGACTCTTTCAAGCGTTACAACCAGTGAATTCGGCACCGAAAAAGCCACATCACCCGCCTAAAAAAACAATAACAAAAAACCAAAAATGAATGAAAAAAAAACGCCAACTTTGACATAATCGCAGAAAAGAAAACGCAGATCTAAACAAATCTCATTACAAAAAAAACCACCAAAAAGAAGGGAATCTATCTACCCGAAGATCCTCACTGGCAGCAACATAATGTATAGGCCTATGCTTCTCATCATGAGAAGGCCTCTCTTTGAGTACAACTTTACAAGGAGGCAAGCCATTTTTGTGCATCCAAGATTTCAAGTCCCCAAAGTCATCATCTTTCTTACTGATAACTTCCTTATTTGAACCAGACACAATGGTATCAGAAACTGAAGCCACACAAAGATTGTTCCTTTTTCTAAAACTGATTCTGGGGTTAGGGTTCGTGTGGAATAGAAGTGAAGGGAGAGGTAATGGATGTAAATTGAATTTGTTATGCAAACAAGTGAGTTCCATGTAGGAAGTTGCTTCAAGGAAAATTGAGAAGTGAAGATATTATTCTTGGGGGCTAGGGAAGGCAAGGGATAAGAGAAGAAGCGTGGGGTCTGGTGTCTGGGATTGGGTTGTTGGCTGAGAGGGAAACAAAATCGGTTTTTTTCTTACTAATTTTTTTAATGAAGAAACTATGTGGTTGTTGATCTCGATTTCTTAATGTAGGTAGTATCTTCCTTTATTTGGTTATGGGGTTTTGTTATTATTTTAAATAATAAAATTAGTAAAAAATGATCGAAAATATCATTTTTAATCGTTTTAATTATATAATTTTAAAATAATGATCGAAAATAATTAAAACGATTAAAAATGATATTTTCGATCATTTTTTTTATTAATTTTATTATTTAAAATAATAACAAAATCGATATCGTCTTATTTTATCCGTATACTAAGGCGTCGTATGAGCGTTTCCTTTTTACTTGGCACTTAAACTTTTTCTTATTTGATAATAAAAAAGTTTTTTTCTTAGAAAATTATAGTTGTGTGGTATTTTTGCTTCATGATCTTGTTGTACTCCATTTATTCCAAGTAGCATACAATTGGTTATTCACAAGCATTTTATGTTGATGAAACCTTTTTATCATAGATCACTTGTAACACCCTAACCCGTACTTGACTCGAATACGAGTTCGAGATGTCACATTGACTTTTTAAAACAATATTCTTACAAAATAACAAAACATTTGGATTTACATTAAGAAAAATAATATATACTATTAAAATTATGTTTCATTATAAAAATTTAAGTAAAAAAAGTCCTTATGGATAGCACTATACGGTATGAACAGTATCGTAAATAGTATCGAATGCTAAAATTTTCCAGAATACTACAGGTGTATCAATACCCTGCTGCAGTGTATCGATACCCTTGCTACAGTAATTTCGGTCAACATGTATAAAACTCATAAAAATTTAACATTTGATCACTATAAAGTTATCATTTACATATATACGTTTAAAACATTACAAAACTCAATCATATGAGTTTACAAAACCAATTGGAACATATCGAATTCAAACCTTTATTTACATGCCAACCATATTCAATATTACAACATACATACTATTCCATTCTTTTTTGATTTGATCTTTGAAAAGTAGGAACTGACCTGTCTTGCATAACTTTTATCAATCTTCCTCTTCTCGAAACCTACGTGTGAAACAATCACACGCTAAGTCGTTGACTTAGTGAGGCATATAAAACATAATAATAATGCATTTCCTATAAATATGAACATATAATCAAATCATTCAATCATGTCACATGTACTTCATTGTAAAGAGTAATAACATGATAACATATAACAATGACAATACTTTTATTACATGTTATAAGCCCATTTATCATATGATCTTATACTTACCATTTCTATGTATTATATAACACATATATAATTTCACAAAGAAACACATATAACATCAAATAATTCATGTGAAACATTTCATATCACCAAAAGCATATACATAACATATAGTGTATTTGTTATTATCTCATTATTAGCCATGTACATTATTGAGAACTCAAGGTATGTGAGTACACTGAGGTTGTACACACATATGATGTAACCACAACTTTTATAATAATCTGTCCATATGTCCTGAAGAACATAGGTAAATTGTCCATATGTCCCGAAGAACATAGGTAATATTATCTATATGTCCCGAAAGACATAGGTAATACTATCGATATGTCCTGAAAAACATAGGTAATATTGTCCATATGTCCCGAAAGACATAGGTAATACTGTCCATATGTCCCGAAAGACATAGGTAACCCTCAACTCTTGGTATACCAACTATACCCCTAGCTCTTATATCACATAACATGGGCATTATCATTATGATTCATATCATTACTCTTATGATCACATATTTCTTTTCTTCTGTCACATACCACATGTATGTATAACCATCTATCTCATATCATATAACATGTATCATATATTGCATATTTATGTAGATCATGTCATATATAATAACATATTCCCGTTTTCATATATTCATGCACATATAAGAATCACATAGTCACGTAGTTCAATTACAAATAGATCATTTATATATAATTCACATGCCACATGTACCTTTTCTCATATATCTCATATAACCATATATATCTTATTTCATACATATATCATATATGCATACCTTCACTTATCTCATATCATATAATTTATGTTCTGTCCTCTTATGTTCACATGACATATAATGCATACAAATCATATTCACACATGCCTTTACTCATGAATTCATACATCATATAAATCATATCATTCACATGATCATATTTATGACTTCATGTACTATAATTATAGGAACTAAACTTATCGCAAGTCCAATTTCCATATAATTCTATATCAAAATAAAATGCACTCACCTTAGCCTTGCTTGCTTTGATTCGATCTTACTTGTCACTTGTTCCGGAACTCGTTTAGGCTCAATATCTACATAAGCATAATTTCCAAGACGATTATCAGAAGCCTAAACCATATAACTTGATGTTAATAACTTAAGGTAATTTAATGAACCAAAATTCCATTTTTTTCCTTTAGGGGGTATCGATACCCACCCTAAGGTATCGGTACCCTTATTTCATTCTGGAAATTTTCGTTCAAGAGGGTATCGGTACACATACATAGGGTACCGATACACTCTGCTCAAAACAGTTTTTTTTACCAGAAAAATTCATTAGTTCTTCACTGAATTTCCTCATACAAAGCTCCTTTCATATCACCAAACTCAACTACAACCATTTTAACTAACTTCTATCATTCACACACCTTATTATCTGTCATACTTCATTCAAATTCTTAAAGCTAAAAATCATACCAAATTTTTCACATGTTTTAAATCCAATTATAACACTCCATATTCCTTAATTAGGTTGATGACGAGTCAAATTTAGTTTCGAATTCAACTTATCAACTCTTTTCCAGAAATTCATTTAAAGACACATTCACTTTAATCTTTCATAACTTATTCATCTTTTGATTTTAAGACATATTAAGATTTCCTTAAGCTTAATTATCATCTCAGGATCAAAACTCAACCTTTAATTAAACAAATAATCAACTAATTAAGAAACTCACATTTGCTTGTATGCTTCACGTTGGAGAAGAGAAGATGGAGGAGATAAGTTTAGGAACTTATCTCCTCAACACATGCTCCACATGGATATTATAGTACCCACTAATTATTATTTAATTATTTTCCTTGTTCAATGACCTATTTGCCCTTTGACTCTTTCAATAATTACTAATAACTCTTCAGAAATTATTTTTAAATAAGTCATTGAACTATTTAACTTTTTTCACTTTAATCACCAAATTCTAAAATTTTACAATTTAGTCACTAACCCTTAGTTTGTGATGTTACATCACTAAATTTTAAGTAATTTTTTATTTTCATAATAAATTTTAAAAAAAAATATTTTAATCGTTAAAGTTGTTAATAAATTACAAAAGAAAAATCATTCTATGTTGATTCTCTTATTAATTGATGTGATATAATTAAAAAATAATTAATATCCAATTTGAATTAATAAATTTAGTCCTCAACTAACCCAAAATCAACATCAACAATCATCACTACTCAACTAACATAAATTCCCAGAGGTATATCTCCTTTCTGGTTCTTTACTGCCAATTGTGTATGTATATTTGTTAATATGATCCACCTAACTTTCTTTTGCAATTACATTTGGATTTCTGTAAGCTGATTTGAACCTGCAAATGGGATGCCTTGTATATCAGAATTAATAATCTTAAGTGAAAAAGAATCCACTATTGCCTGTTGGACATGATAAATTATTGTTTCCTGTTTCTCAGGTTTTGCCAACATTTTTTGCTTTGTTTTCACTTGGATCTGTGCCTCAAGGTAAGGAACTGCCCGGCGGTAACTTCTGAGTTCTCACCAAATTTTTTGTTGTTAACAGATTTGATCCAGATTGTTCTCGTCACTATGATCCAAAATAACCACATGAACCAAACGACTTCACTAACTGAAGAGATGTTTATTATCTCTATAGGTTTTAGGTTTAATCATGAATTTTGTAGGGATGTTTGAACGTTTATTGTCAAAACATTGAGAGTCTTTCGAATAAATATTAACTTATAATCACTCAGACTAGTAAAAAGAACATTATAGTACCTCATGGTATTGAAAGATTTAGAAATTCAAAAATGAGTTCCAAAATTTTAATTCCTTTTTAAGAATGATATATAAATTCATTAATTTTCCACATAATACACTAAACTAAATTTAACACCCTATAAGAGCTTGATACGTGTCATGTACCAGTAACCAGAAAAGAAAATATAGAAATAGAAAAGGAGAATAGGCAGTAGATTAAGAAGTTTTTAAAATATTCAGGATTATAGATCCTTTTAACGTTTCACATGCTCTCTTATTTATAATTTTAATCCTTAGAACCGGACAAAATCGGTTAAGGCTTGGAGCGTCCTTTTTTCTCTCAAGCTTCTACGCAATATTCGGTTGTCCTTGGTGGTCGTTTCTTGGTTGCCAACTCCCTCTGTGGTAACATTCTCATTCCCCGTATCTGCTAACTCCACCCTTTCCTTGACATTACCCCCTCCTAAAAGAAGGACCTTGTCCTCAAGGTTCGCAGCAGGTGTAGATGGGAGAAACTCATCCATCATCAACGGCAAAGGAGTAATTTTTTGAAGAGGGTGACCCTTGCATGGCTTGAGTTGAGACACATGAAAAACTGGATGGATTCGCGTGGAATCTGGTAATTTTAGCTTATAAGCCACTGGACCTATACGTTGCAGAATGCGATAAGGGCCAAAGAAACGTGGTCCAAGCTTTTGATGTCTCCTTAGACGTAGTGATAGTTGTCAGTAAGGTTGTAAACGCACAAAAACCCAACTACCCTCCTCGAGTTCTACTTCGTGTCGATGTTTGTTGGCCTGGTTTTTCATACGGACATGCGCTTGCACTAAATTGCTTTTTAATACTCGCAACAATGCGTCACGTTCCTACAAATCATGATCTACTTGAGCATTGCAAGAACTACCCTCTAAGTAGTTGAAAATGGTGGGTGGATCACGCCCATACAAAGCTCGGAAAGGAGTCATTCCTGCTGATGTCTGATATGATGTATGTAACATCCCAAACTATGGGTTAGTGACTAAATGGTAAAGTTTCAGAATTTGGTGATTAAAGTAGAAGAATGGATTAGTTCAATGATTTATCTGGAAATAAATCCTAAAAGTTGTTAGTAATTATCAAATGAAGTAGAGGACAAAATGGTCATTTAACCAATAAATGAATTAAAAATAAATATGATAAGGATATATATGTTAGAGGGGATAAGGATGAAGAGATATTCTCTTCATCTTCTTTTTCTTCTTTATGTACGAGAGAAAGAAAGAGCCAAGCTTGCAAAGGTAAGATTCCTTGTTAGCTGATTATTTGTTAATATTAAGAGTGGGTTTTGATCATTAGGTAATACTTAAGCTTATGGAAAGCTTAAGTTGTCCTAAAATCAAAAGATAAAGAAGTTATGAAAGATTAAAGAAAATGAGTTTCTTAAGGAAATTCTGGAAAAGAGTTAGTAAGTGAATTTTGAGAAGGAATTTGACTTGTCATCAATCTAATTAAGGGATATGGAGTGTTAGAATTAGATTTAAAACATGTTAAAAATCTGGTATGATTCTTGAAGTTAATAAAGAGGATAGGATATTAAGGTTAAAGACGAGATAATTGATTATAAATGAGTTTAAACATGTATATGAAAGTTAGGAATATGAAAGGGGATGAAATATGAAGCATTTGAGTGAAGAGTTGATGATTTTCGGGTTCAAAAAGAGGTTCTGGGCAGAGTGCATCGATGCACATTCATAGTGCATCGATGCATCAAGGTTAAAACCAAGAAATTTGTTTGAAGGTGTATCGATGCACAGGTAGTGCATCGATGCACTCTTTTAAAATAGAAACATCGAATGCAATTAGTGCATCGATGCATAAGGCATGCATCGATGCATCCCCATGATAATACAACATCGAATGCATTTTATGCACCGATGCATCAGTAGTGCATCGATGCATACTTTCATTGAAAGATGAAATTGGCATTTTTCTTAATCTAAAGAGTGAACCATTAGAGTATATTAGTTATAATACTAATATAGATCTATGTATGATTATGTAGATATAGAACGTGATCCCGTTCTGAATCAATTGAAGGATTAGAATCGAATCAAAGCAAAGCTAAGGTGAGTGCACATTATTTAGTATATGATGTTAAATGGAAAATAAGACTTATGATAAGTCTATTTCCAATAGTAAAATGCATGAATTCATAGAGGTATGTGTTTGTTATGATTTATATGTGTGCATGAGTATATGTGTTATTGATATGATTCTATGATCATAGGATGTAAACTATGTGATAAGTGATAAGTGACTATATGAAATTATATGAGAACAAGAGATGACAATGATTTACATGTCATATGAAAACCAGAGAAGTGTTATAAGCAAAGTGGCATATATGTGATAAATGAATGATATGAAAAGTGAGATAAACAAAGTATGGTTGATATAGGGTAATATAAGAATAGTTCATAGGTGATATGATAAAGATGGAACCATATAGGAACATTAATTGAGTACTTGTTAATAAGTTATATGAAATTATCTACGTGAATACATGCACTTGTGATATATGTGATATGATATGAGATATATGGTTACACATACATGTGGTATGTGACAGAAGAGAAATAACAAGTGATATGAAATGTTATAAATGATAATGCCCATGTTATGTGATATGAGAGCTAGGGGTATAGTTGGCATGCCAAGAGTCGAGGGTATACCTATGTTCTACGGAACATATGGACAGAATTAACCTATATTTTTCGAGACATATGGACAGTATACCTATGTTCTACGGAACATATGGACAGAATTACCTATGTCTTTCGAGACATATGGACAGTATACCTATGTTCTAAGGAACATATGGACAGTTTACCTAGGTTCATCATAACCTATAGACAGTTACCGAGGATCTTTATGACCTCTGGATAGGTCCTTCGGGACATTTATATGAGCTGTGGTGACAACATATGTGTGCACAACTTCAATGTACTCACATACCTTAAGTTCTCACTAGTGTACATGGGCTAATAAAGAGATTAAACAAACATACTGAATGTGATATGTATACTATGGGTTTATAAATGGTTATCAAAAGTAAGTGGTTTGAAATGTGTTACATGAACCATATGATGTTATATGTGTTTCTTAATGATGATATATGTTCATGTATGCTTTATGTTATATGAAATATTATATGTTTTATATGCCTCACTAAGTCATCGACTTAGCGTGTGATTGTTTCACACGTAGGTTTGGAAAGCGAAAAGAGAAGTAAAGAGGAACAAGACAGGTCAGTTCTCCTTACCGAATGTCAGATCAGAAGAGAGGTGAATAATATATATTTTTGTATATAAAGTTCTAGTTGGCATGTAATCAAAAGAATATATTGTATAAGCTCTGAATAGTTTTGTAAATGTTTTGAATAAGTTAAATATTACAAAAGTTTTTAAAATTACTCACTATTTTATACGAATAAATGTTTGAAAAGTCAATGTGACACTTCGGACTCGTATCCGGATTGGATACGGGTTAGGGGTGTTACAATGTATTATACTAATATTCTGCCCATGCTAAGTATTTCTCCCACTTGCTCGGATCATCTGCTGCCATACAACGAAGATACATCTCGAGACATCGATTCAAAGCTTCAGTTTGCCCATCAGTCTGTGGATGGTAGGCTGAACTGAAACATAATTCAGTCCCTTGTAGTTTGGCTATCTTAGTCCACAGTTCACTAACAAAAATCCGATCTCTATCACTACAATAGTTCTTGGTATCCCATGAAGTTTTACAATCCCTTGGACCATAATCTTGGCTATATATTTACTGTCAAAATGCTTCGGAAGTGCAAAAAAATGATCGTACTTTGTGAGACGATCGACCACAACCAATATTGTCTCTTTCCCATTAGATTTCGGTAAGCCTCCAATAAAATCTAACGAGATGTCTTCAAATACCTTATTAGGAATCGAAAGTGGTTGAAGAAGTCCTGCCGGGGCCAAGCTAACACTTTTCATTCGTTGGCAAACCTCTCATTCAATGACAAATTGTCGAACATCTTTTCACATACCTTTCCAATAAAAATTCACAGCTAATCGTTGAAAAGTGCGTGTAATACCAGCATGTCCTCCCATCAATGAGCTATGAAATTCTCGTAACAATAGTGATTTTAGTGCAGCTTCTTGAGGTACCACAATTTTCCCTCGCCTTAACAGTAATCCATCTTGCTCTTCATACCCATCAAAATTAGTTTGTCCCTGCTGAATACTTGCGCGAATATGTTGAATCTCAACATCCGTTCTACTTGCTACCCGAATATCATCAAAAATACCAAACAATGGTCGAGAAAAAGCCATGAAAGTAACTGTCGATTCTCTGGATAGCGCATCAACAACATTGTTGAGTTTTCCAGCTCGTTAATGGATCTCGAAATCATACCCAATCAATTTTGATAACCATCGTTGTTGTTCCGGGGTTTGAATAGTTTGTTGATTTAATTCACGCAGAGAGCGCTGATCAGTGATAATGATAAATTTACGACCCACCAAATATTGACGCCAGTTCCCCACTGCTTGAGTAATGGCGAACATTTCTCGATTGTAAGTAGAAGCACTTTGCATCCGTGGACTAAGCTTTTGACTAAAATAGGCTAACGGTTTACCCTCCTGAATTAGAATCGCTCCTATACCTATCCCTGAAGCATCAGTTTCGACCTGGAATTCTTTGTCAAAATCCGGCAGCCCAAGTATTGGAGCAGAACAAAGACGTGATTTTAAATGGTTCATAGCGCTTTGAGCCGCTTCAGTCCATTCAAATGATTGGCCTTTACGAAGCAAATCTGAGATGGGGGCTGCTATAGTAGCAAATCCCTTAATAAATTTACGATAGTAAGATGCAATTCCGAGAAATGCCTGCACTTCCTTGACCGTGGTAGGTACAGGCCAACCTCGTATTGCCTCAACCTTAGCGGGATCCACTGCCAATCCTTCCCTTGAAACTATATGCCCTAAATATTCAACAGTAGTTTGTCTTAATGTACACTTACTACGCTTTGCGACAAAACCATTTTCTTGCAACCTTTGTAGCACCTGTCGAACATGGTCCAAGTGTTCCTGCCAATTTCGACTGTACACAAGAATGTCATCCAAAAAAATTAAAACAAATTTGCGTAGAAATGGTCGAAAGAGATCGGTCATTGTTGCCTGAAAAGTGGATGGCGCGTTGGTTAAACCAAACGGTATGACGAGAAACTCATAATATCCTTCATGAGTCTGAAAAGCTATTTTCGGAACATCTTCTGCTTTAACTCTAATTTGATGATAGCTGGCAAGTAAATCCAGCTTTGAAAAGAATTGTGAATCACCCAACTCATCAAAGAGTTCATCGACAGTGGGAATCGGAAATTTATCTTTAATGGTGATTGCGTTTAAAGCACGGTAGTCAACACAGAACCGCCACGTACCATCTTTCTTCTTTACCAACAACACTGGAGAAGAAAATGGGCTATTGTTCTTACGAATCAACTGGTGCTCAAGCATGTCTAGGACTTGTCGTTCGACTTCATCTTTCTGAAAATAGGGATACCGGTAGGGTCGCACATTCACTGGTTTGCTCATAGGTTGTAAATGTATAACATGGTAATTTTCTCGAATAGGGGGTAGACCGTGAGGAGCCAAAAAACCATATCAAATTCAGCCAATAGTTTTGTCATGTCCTCTGGTTCAACTTTGCTTTCCATCGTTAGTTTCATATCCATTTGCAAACAATAATAGGAAGCCACGCCTTTAGTATCCTTCAAACGACGTAAGGATTGTAATTGGATAAGTTGGGGAACCAACTCTGTTTCCCCTTGCCAATAATGTTCCTTGTTCCCTTGGTGGAATTGAAACCGAAGTGTAGAAAAATCCATAGTTACCGGTCCAAGAGTAGCCATCCAAGCAACTCCTAACACCATTTCAGTACCTTCTAACGGTAACACATAAAAATCAATAATCAATTCAGTACCTTGAACTCGCAATTTAAGATCATGCACACAACCTTCGTTTTGTAATTTTTCACCATTTCCCACAAGGACCCTGAAGTTTGGTGCTGCTGTCACCTTCAAACCCAAATGCTTTGCAACACGAGACTGGACAAAGTTGTGTGTACTGCCACCATCAATCAAAATCCGAACCGGTCGGCCTCTAATCTCCCCCGTCACACGTATAGTATTAGGAGTGAAACAACCTGCAAGAGCGTTAAAGGAAACTAAAGATTGTTCACGTACAACATCGTCGGAGTCGTCTAATTCATCGCCCTTATTCGCTCGTATACCTCTTACCGTTTCTTGGTGTTCATCCTCAAGTTCATCATCCAGAAAAAATAACTGAGGATCCTTGCATTTGTGACCCAAAACAAATTTAGCATCACAATAATAACACAACCCTTTCTCGCGTCGAGCTTGAGCTTCAGCCGTCGAAATTCTGCGAGGTTGCATAAGATTATGAGAGGTCGTGTGATTGTCTGATTGAGGTAATCAACCAAGATGTGCTTTAGACCCAGACAGAAATAAGGTGGGTGTCGGTAGTAAGGGCGGTAATTTTGGACCAGGTACGCGACCCAATGATTTTCGTGTCTCAAGAATTTTGGCTTCATGAAATCAGGCCAGTGCAATTACTTCACTCATAGAAGTGGATCAATAACCCAACACCTCATGCTTAATATCTGAACGGAGCCCAGACACAAAACATTGTGTCAGAAATTCATCAGAAAGGTTATTTGTACGTAAGGTCTTCAAATCGGGTTTGATATTCATCCACCGTCGTTGTTTGGAAAAGCTTAGAAAGTTGCCCTTCCGGTGATTCGATTTCCATCACCATGAACCTTCGTCGAATCGCTCCAACCAAATGTTGCCAACCTGCCAGTTGTCATTGTCGTTGCATCCAACGAAACCATTTTTTTTCTATGCCTTCCATTCTGAAAGATGCCATGGTTACGCGATGGTGGTCCTCAGTGCCATAAAACTCGAAGAAATCATTTGCCGATGCAAGCCACTCCTCTAGGTCCTTACCATTGAATATAGGTAACTCCACCTGAACTGGTTTGGGTGAGAAAGGAAATACATCATCGGATTCCACTTTCATTTTTGCTTTGCCTCTGGGAACCATGATTTCTCTTGAACCCTCATCATCGCAAGAAGTGGTTGTCGGAGCTCCCAATTGTGTAGAAAGCACTATTAACTGGCGAACCAAATCCTGGAGGGTTTGTTGTGTGGTCACATTCCATTTCTTCTGATCCTTCGCCTGAGATTGGAGAGAAACCAAAAGTTGGTCGTGACGAGCACTCGCTTCCTGCAAAGTTTTGATAGCGTCCGTGTTACTCACCATATTGTTCAAGCTCAACGAAAGCACCAAAATGTCATGTACCAGTAACTAGAAAAGAAAATATAGAAATAGAAAAGGAGAATAGGCAGTAGATTAAGAAGTTTTTAAAATATTCAGGATTATAGATCCTTTTAACGTTTCACATGCTCTCTTATTTATAATTTTAATCCTTAGAACCGGACAAAATCGGTTAAGGCTTGGGGCGTCCTTTTTTCTCTCAAGCTTCTGCGCAATATTCGGTTGTCCTTGGTGGTCGTTTCTTGGTTGCCAACTCCCTTTGTGGTAACATTCTCATTCCCCGTATCTGCTAACTCCACCCTTTCCTTGACAATACTTTTGCCCCTGTCCCATGAATGAGCATGATGGGCAAGAAACCACACGATTTTCTTTCACATGGACCTTGTGCTAATCAAGATTAACGGTGGTTAAAATATTGAGGGTTGATGATGGGTTAGTTGAATAAGATGATATTTTTTAGTTAAAGAAATTTGTTAAGAATCAAATTGATGTTTTAACGATATGCTGATACAAATTAGATAATTAGATATTAGCCATTTGCTAACGTGTGATTTTACCAACATAATGAAGTCAACAACGACAGAGCGGTCATTCAATGATTTATCGATAACTTTAGTGACTAAAATATACTTTTAAAACTTTGGTGATCAAAATAAAAACTTACTGAAACTTAGAAACCATGGATGCAGTTTACCCTTTGTTTAACACTAAACAAAGCCTACCCTTTGTAAAAGTGATTTCCAGTATTCAACTTGTTTTGTATGTCAATCTCTTCTGTTTTCCCCTATATGAAATTTGCAATGCAAGAATTGCACTTACTATGAAATGGCTTCGGCTTCGGCCTCGGCCAATAGGAAGGCTGTTCAAACTGTTCTATTACTCCACAAAACTGTGTAAATCAGTTTCAACTTCAATGGGAAGAAAAAAATGAGAGAAAACAGAAGAGGTAGCTCCTTGGAAATCAACTCAATCTATTCAGGTAATGTGCAAAAGCTAGTCTTCCGTCACATTGTTCAATAATCTCTCTTGTAAGAGCAAAACACATCCCTTAAATTAGGTGAACGAAACTACTTAAGAAAATAAGAAAATTTGCCACCGCCTTGAAAAACTCTGAGACAATTGCGAACATATTTGTATGTCCGGCATCTTTGTAGTGTCATTCACCGCTCATATATTAAACCTCTGAGGAACACTGTCAAAGTCATCGAAGTCGAACCTCTGTCGCTCTCTCCCAGCCTGGACACAGAAAGGTATTGTCTAGTTACTAATCAATGGTGCTTAGAGAGTAGTATTAGCCAAAACAATTTGATGAATGGAAATGGCAGTGGCTCACTTTTCCTAGATACATCGGATCACATGACATGAGTTCATCCAAAACAGTCAGCTTCTTTGAGAGGGTCATTAACCTGTAATGGAATGCAGGGAAAAAAAAAACATTTGATAATGCTTTGTTTATAATTAAAAGTGCCCGACAAATAATCACCAGTGTCCCGCTAAATATCTCTATGATCAATAACATTGTGTGTTGGAACTCCTTTTAAAGAACTAATGCAATTAACAACACTAGAATTTGCTCACCCTCTGAATATTTTGTTCTAGTTAGAACTTTGGGTTTTGTATTAATTCCCTGAGTAGGGATCTGAATCCAGACACCAAACTCGATCGGAATTTTGTATAACAGATTGTGTCATAAATTACAATAAACTCCTATCTCAAGAAAGTAGCACGTGTGACAAGTATTCATAAGCATTACAAAATTATCTATCAAAGCAAAATATGATAGTGGTGTTCATTCTAAAAAGTGTACCTCTGGATTGATGAATCAATATGCTCTATCATTTCACAGGTCTTATATTGTTCAGGATCCTCTAGGAATGTAACCATCCCATCCTTCTGGTTGATCGTAGCATATATCTCACCATCTTGGATCTAAAGTTTGAAGAATGTGCATTTGAAGAGCATTTGAAGAACAATGAAAATATGCAACATATGATATGAAACTTCAATCTAAATTAACTAAAACAGAAAATACAACATTACCATTTGAAGAACATGCATTTCTGCTTCCTTGGGGCTATTCAGTTGCACAGTGTTAGCTATGTCCTGAAGTGAGAGCGTTAAATATGTCTGGGTCAACCTCTGGATATTTCGCTTGTATATGGATGATACAACCTGCTTCACCAAACCTAGATTGTTGTCCTGGTAAAAGTACAAAGCTTCTTTCAGAGCATCAAACAAATGGAGCAGGAGAGCACGCATAAATTATTTGATATAGCACTCACACTTCCAAATTTCTCCATGTGTGCTTGTACATGTGTCTCTAAGTCTGCGATTTTCCCATTGCTATAAATATTCGCTAGTTCGATATATGGCTACAAAAGAAGTAATAAATAAAGTCAACAAAAGAGACTGTGATGTAAATGGATAATTCTTTTCATGTTAATGGCTTTCAACATCATTAGTTCTAGAATTGAAATGCACCAGACACAAATTCTTCAAGGTTCTCTGAGCAACAGTGGGAGCATACTTCAGAAGACTGGTAGAAAGCTGTAACCAAGAAATTGGAAAAACCATAGATGGTGAGCAAAAGACAAACTAGCAAATGAAAACGTTGTCTAAATGATGAAATAATTCACTTCCTCAAACCACTGCCTCCAAATCAAGAACCAATCTGTCAAAATATTCTTTTTCTTCTTTTAATCGATTTGTCCATAGATTCTCAATAAATAAATAAAAAATGTAAAATATATGTCAATTGCAGAACATACCAGTCCATGGGGAATAACAGAGACTAATATATATTTTTTGTAAGCTTCAACAGCTATAGCGTTGATGGTAGACATAGGAGCAGTCACAACCTAGACAATTATCATGAAGCACATAAAAATAGGCTAATTTGTTTTATTAGTTGACAAGCAGTAAACGGCAAAGCTGTTAAGAAACAGCATACATTGTGTAGAAGTTCCAATGCTTTCCGAAAACACTTTTTTCCAATGCATATCATTCCCCTGTCGTGAAGTCAAACCGGAAACCTATCAGTGACTCCCCTCAATGATGATAGGCCAGTGAAACAGTCAAATCAAGGAGAATGATGTGAACTTAAGATTGGACAAATCAGTTATTTAAAGGATATATCTTTCACTTCAGTAGGTAACAATATTTACTGTTTGATTCTTTAGAAAAAAAGAAATGCACCTTCATAATGAAAAAGGAAAATCTTAGATGAAACATGTGCCAAAAGAAGGAAGCTATTTTTCTTGGGGAGGAAAACAGAAGAGCTTCTAAGAACTAAACATCCGATAACACAAAGATTCACTGCAAAATCTGAGATGCTATTGAATAGTTTTAGAAGCAATGAATCTATAATAGACACAGATTAAATGTCAAAGTTCGGACACAAATCGAATAGTTTGAGAAGCAAACCAACCCATAATAGCAATAGAGATAAAGATCCCTTGGCTGATCAACCTCGAAAATATCTTCCTCTAAGATGGAAAGACCAGTTTTATAGCACTTTGCCAACAAACAGAGCAACAGAAACTCTGGATGTAAAGAAGTCAAATTTTCAGTCGAAGGCTGAAGCTTCCGAATAGCAGTCAGCATCGGAGCCACTGCACGCAAGGGCTCCGCAAGCAACAGAACTTGATCCTTGAGCCTCTTACAAACAGATATAACTGCCAATCACATTAAAATCACATTAATAACATCAACTATAAAAAACTAACTCGAAAAAACTTTTCCAATGTCACTAATAATCCGAACTAAAGTTCGAGTAATACACTTATCAGGCGCCAAGCGTATTTGCTCAGCATCACATGAACTGATAAACCTGGCAATGATTAGCACAAATGACCTAGCTGATTCTGTTGTAACTGGACCAGCAGTGCATGCCTCTCTGTTGAATCGTTAATAAAATTCATAGCGTTTAATTTTACTTCTCATTAAAAAAACCCATGAGAAATCACAAAGTTTTAGCAAGTTAATGAAAAACCCAGATTCTACATTTAACAAAGTTCCAGAAATCAAAAGAGAAACCCAAGATTCATTGTTGAACTAAACATCAAATTCTAGACAATACACAGAACAATTTTCTTTCCTTTTAAGGAAAAAAAAGAACGGAAAAATTCGACATAGGAAAATCAATTATTCTGAAGACCCAAGCTGAAAAAGAACTCACAAGAAATAGAGGTAACCGAGAGAATGCTTGGAAGGGTCGAGTTGATCGAGAAAAGGCAACAATCGAATGGACTCGGCATGGAGCGAGTCGTCAGCTTGTTTAAGAACATTTTGGAGCGATAAAACATCAGAGGCGGTGCTTGATAGCCCCTGGATTTGGGTCACTAAACCTTCCACTGAGTTCATCCCTTCTCCCGCAACTGAAATTACTGATCAAATCAAACACTCAACACTTTGTTATCGGGCTGCCGGTCTAGTGTATATAATAGGTTAAGCACACGGTTAGTTATTAAATTTTAGATTTTCTATCTATTTTAATACTAAAATTTTAGTATAAACTATGATTACTTTAATTATATTTTATTCATTCAACTATTATATTTTTTTAAATCATATTTAAATTTATATTTTACCTGATATTAAAAAAATTAATGTAGATGATGACATATCACAATATAATGTTACGTTATCATTGAAAAAATTTAAAAATTATCATGTCAACAGTTTTATTTATTTTTTAACGATTGATGACCAAAACGAAATCAAAATATAAAGTTAGAAATGACTTTTAAAAAATAATTGAGATAATTAAAATTAAACTAAAATGATTGTTGGGTGACTAAATAAATAATTTATCCAAAATTTTAATATAATTTTAATATAAGTATCAAATTTAGTTTTGAATTTAATAAAATATTGAACCATTAAATTTGAAATAGTTATGACATGATAATTTTGATACTTATATTGATATGAATTTTGATGTGATGTTACCGGATCATATGTGATGTTTGCCCGATCGTAATTCT